GTATTCGGAGTCCCACCACACATAGGGGAAACTTTGCAAAAATTTAAAACTTTTATTTGTAAGAGAATCTCTCGTAAGTAACGAGAAGAACAAACGCAATGATGTTACCTACCTTGTGTAACGGTCCTAGCAAACGATATTATGAAATTAAACTCGACAATGTCATCTGTTGAAAAATTTTGAGAAACATAGAGAACTCTAGTACGCAGACTCCAAATTTCAAATCAATACTGAAACACGTCTTCTACAAGCTGTTTTATTTGCAATTGTTACGAACATCCGCGAGAGTTTAAATCAAAATGATACTTCAAGTGGAGCCGATTTTCAATTGTTTACCGATCGATATTGTATTTGTTTAAAAGGCTGATACAAGCTTTTGTCAGTGACTTCGTCTGTGTAAAAAAAACAGTGAAACTTACTTGGAAATTATGTTTTATATGTCCATGATTTTAATAAGTTGTGTTGTTAGGAGTTATCGAGTAAATAAGAGATTAAACCGTATCCCATGGGACCCTGCATTACCGGGATCATAGGTAATTTTTGTTTTTCGACACTGTTCTATTTTTATTAAATTTAATTTAGTTCCGTTTTGGTGATAGCTAAATTCATCTATTTCAGCTTTTTTTTTAGAATTAACATCTACAGACTCTTGATCCGTACTCTTTTTTGCACAGTTTGTCTTTTTTTTGGTTGCGTAATCTTTTTTACATTATTCAGTTCATACTGTTTCTGTGGGCTATGTGATCTTCCAGAATACCCTTTACTAAGCCAAATTTTATCTAGATCCGTTCAGCAGTATAGGCTACAAAGTTTATTACCCATCTAAACTTTCGCATTTATAATATTAGTAAGATAGTATTTTACTATACGCTTAAAGAAACGTCAACAATTAAAAGCATCGGTGGCTCAGGGGTTTGAGCATTTGATTTGTAGTCTACAGGTCTTGGGTTCAATTCCCGCCGAACCAATGTGATTTTCGATTTTCAAATGTACTTAATTTACTCGACGTTCTTACGGTGAAGGAAATAGTGATGAAACCCGCAGTGCAGCGTTGTTGACTATGGCCTGGTCACCCTTAGGGTAGGCTCCGAACTCTTCAGTGAGGATGTATAGTGAGCTGGTGATGATGATGATGATAATTACAGAAAGAAACATGGCATATAATCGGTGTACAACTGCCGATCTGTGACGATGAGAG